AGGACTGTGAATCAATACCTCTCATTGCCTGTTTGGTCATAGACTTCCTTGAAGTCATTAAGGAATTCAAGTCTTAGTTTCCCTTCCCTTAAAGTGAAATAATATTTTCTTTCTCTTCCAACAAGAGCCTAATCTTTATAATTTGAAGTGTTGGGGCTCATCAGCTGTTCATACTGAGGACGTAGAACGTATATTTTTTAAAGCAAGATTCTCTTTGGCCAGCATCTGACACAAGCTGGCCCTGACTCTGACGAGGCTCTAAAGACATTGCCGTAATGTAAAAACACTCCCGTGCTGTTTTCTCATCTGGAGTCTGTCAAAATTCCTGACAAACCAGAGCACTGATCCTGGACTCTGCTCTGCCTGGGAAGGGAGGAGGGAAGCGCCATTCAGGCACAAGCTGCTTTTAGGGTCTTGATTGACAAAGCTTGGTCTGTTTCTTGAGAGTAGAGTGGATGCTCAAGAATACAGATGAGCTCAAAGACTATGTATAAGAAATGAGTTTGAAAGTTCAACATACTTGATTTCCAGTCCTCTAAATTTACTGCTCCAGGAACAGGGCTCCTGTCAATTTTCAGGTGACAAATTCTCTCTCAGAGACTCGGCTGTTCCTTCATTCACTTATTATTTAGACAATACAATACAATCTTGGTTTGAGTAGGGCTGATCCTTATAATGTAAGAAAATCAAAAAGATCAAAGCTGCACGTGACGTGGCTGCATGAGGTTATTTTAGTGAAGCTCTGCTTCAAGGATTATTCAGATATTTCATTTCAAACAGCAATCGCTATTGACCCAGCACACATACAAAGCATAATTTTCAAAAGTAAAAGAAATTTATTATTATACTTCAACCTTGTTCCACATATTCTTGATAATAAAATTATTTCAGGCTCTTTTAAAAAAAATTGTACATTAAAGCAACCGAACACTGCAACAACAGCTCCTTGTAAAACAAACATCAACTTCATGTTGCTTCAGGTCCTACTAATGCGGTATGAGGGAAGCACTTTAACAAAAAGGAATAAAGCAATGAGTTTAGGCTTAAAAATGAGACATCAAAAAGGGGTTTAGCAGGAGACAGAAAGAGCTGCTTTTACATCCTATGATAACTGGGGTTATAATAATGTCCTTTTTCTTATACAAAAGGACTGCGACATTTCCAAAGTGAGAACTCAGCACTACTTCCAAAAATCTGTTCAAAAAGTAACGCCATTCACTTTCAGTTTTTTTTTCTTGCTTTTTCCATTTTCCCTTCTATAATTTAAAGGGCGCTTCCTCTCCACTTGGCTCATTTCCACTGTCTCTGTGTCAGCTCTCTCTATCTAGGATTTCATATCACCTAGGTAGTTCAATGCCTCAGGCCCATATTATTTATCCTATTTATAGACCTAAATCTGCCATTTATTGCGCCTGGGCAGACTGCTGCACCAACACAGACTCCCACAGCCTTCAGGAGCCCTTTCTGCCTGTACAAACAGCCACTCCGAGGGAGCACAAAGGCGGCTTTCAGCTAGGCAAGGTCACGAGCACCCCCCCTTCCCCTGCCTCTCTCCTACATTTCCAACGGCACTTGCTGTACTCCAGCAAGCTTTCCTGGTGCCGCACACACCACAGCAAACAAAGCAATCCCTATCTGGAAAACTTTCATGTCTAAAAGCAGATGTTTCCACCTGCCTGTGCATTTCAGGGTATATTCTAGGGCCCTGACCCATCTCTCTCTCACCCTCCACAATACCACAAGAGCGGAGAGGGAGTCCAGGACTCACCGCATGAAAAGGGGCTTAAAGCCAGGTCTGCACAAACGTGGGCCCTTGGCAGCTCCGCTGCAACTCTCTGATAGAGCATTTCTGCATTCCCCCTGCTGTAGCTGTGCTATCCTCTCCCACAACGCTTTCGGTACACTTCACTGCGGGTTTGCAGCAGGCTGGTTAACATGGGGACGGTGCTGATCATTCATCTCAGCACCAGCTGTCAGTTACTTTAAAAGCTGCTGCACACCTGGAAATACGCAACTGTGACTGATTCTCGGACAAACATTTACCTTGGCATGCACAGTGCGAAAGGCACCACCATGTTCACCTCTGTCACTGTAAGTAATTTGCATCCCTAACCATTGACAAACATTACAAATTGGACACCTGGAGCTGTTACAGACTCTAAGTGGTTCAAGCCTGTACTTCGCTCTTCCCTTTTAAAAACAGCTACATAATACCTCTGCAGCACTATATGCAACCTCTAACATAAGGCATACACATAAGACATACAAGCAGAATGAAAGACAGCATTTTAGGTTAAAAAAAATAAATAAAAAGCAGCTGAGTTCTAATAAATGCCTACAACAGCAGCACGTTTAGTGGCTCACCTAACACCTGCACTGAGTTTGGTGGGAGCTGAGACAGCTGCCCCTGGGATTAGTCCACATTATTCCATTGCGCTGTACCTTTGGGAACGGTGGTGGAGCAGGCCCCCGTTAAGCAGGACATATTTCTAACACAGCCATTCACAGGTGGCAACTGGATAAAAAAATATTCCAACTGTTTCATTGAATTGCTTCTTTCTGGTTAATGGAGTCCAGAATCCCCATTTACAGGTGGTGCAGAGGTCTCCATCAGCACAGCCAGTAGCAATCCACTTGCTCTGCCATCACCTGCCACTTATTTAGCAATGTTTAAAATCCCAATCTCTTCTACCGTATATTTGTACCTGCACATGGAGATTGTGATCCAAGGCACCCCACTGCAAACACTGGGAATCTTCCCTTCTCATCCTCTCAAAGTGCAGCCCCAAGAAGAAGAGCGATGAAGGGAAGCTTTAACAGCTTTGCGACAACATTGCACATGTAACACTGCGCTGGTTTTTCCAGAGCCGTCCTGGAATACACCAAACCAGCCAGGCTATGCGGCTCGCCCCCCGGTCCTGCATCCCCACTAGCAGCACAATTAACATCAGCAGCACTCCAAGGGTAACCTGGCGAACAGAGAAGCTCTCCCGAGATTGGGGCAGAAAAGAGTGTCTCCCTGCCTCACACTCCAACCGCAATGAGGAAAACCCCCAAATCTAACCCACACCACCTTTCTTAGCTGTGATACAACATGCTTCAATGGGTGTTAAAAAAAAAAAAAAAAAAGGAACTATGCCTTTCTGTCCTATGCAGCAGAGGGCAACATGTTCAAAAATATGCACTCCTTTAACTAAGACCACAAGAAAAGGAAGTCAACATAAACCAAAATAGCTGTAATGAAAATTACCAATAATTTCAGTTAATCACCATACAGTTCAGAGGACTGCAGTGACACATAAGTGTATGAAAAGTTCCAAACGGTGGTAGGCATGTGCATGTTTAAAAACATCACGCAGTATTGATGGTAACCACATGATAATTTACAAGTTATATCACTTCTAGTAAATGCTTTTGATCACATCACCAAGACTCTGGCTCCTCACCCATCTGCCCAGAATTTCCTGAAGCAGTCCAAGCCTCGGACCAGAATCACTTCACTCCTTTATTTAGTTTCACATTTCTTTTCAAGTCAGTCTGCCATGCAACAATTTCTCAAAAGTAAAAAAAAATGTGGGTTTTTTTAAGTGCCTGCCTCCCCTGACTTTATAAAGCACACAGCTCCTTGGTGTTTAAACCCAGATTTGCTGCTAGATCATCTAGCCTGAGCTCTGTGTGTCCCAGGCCTGGGAAGCTTTAGCCAGCTGCTCTCCATCAAGCCAAATGACCTGTGTTTTACTAACGCACAGCTTCTGAAAAGGTGTTCTGTCTGAACTGAAGACTACCACTGAAAAACCCAATTTTACATAGCTAACTGTGCTAATGATTAGTCAACCACCTTATTAAATATTAATGCTGTATTTTCTACCTGCATTTGTCTGGTTTGAGCTTCCAGTCGTACATTCCTCAGTATACAAATCTTGATCACATTAAAGAGCCCGTTAACACCCAAGACCCCTCAAAGGCACTGAAACAACGGAAACCTGCCAGTCTTTCTGCCATCCTCATGTTTTATCATCAATTTCTTTATAATTTTTTTCAGATCTCTGTTGAAAATTACGAACAGCATCAGGCTTGGTTCAGACTTTGAAGAAACCAACTAAAAACCTTCCACATGCTCCCCACTGATGGCTGTTTGGGGTTTTTTTTTTTTTCTTTCTTTACATGTCTCAGATACGTAGCTTTATATTCTCTGAGTGTACAGTGCTGGAGGTCTTTTTAAACAGTAAGTTATTTGGTACCCAGCCATATATCTTATTTTAAAAAAGATCTAAGAAAATTATATCTACCCATTAATTTTTAATCAAGTAAATTTTTAATTTCCTCAAAGAACACAGTTTGATTTGACAAGGCACATTTTCTTTAATGTTTAGAAAAGGTTAATATCGTTTTATTACTGGTTGCATGTACCAAAACTTCTCTACCAAATCAAACTCTGTAACAGGACAGCTTTTCTTTCATCCCTATTTTACAGACAGGCGCTGTGAGAGTATTCGTCTCTCTGGTTTGAAGCAGACTCCCACCAGTATCCCCTGTTAGGCTTAATTGGATCAGATGCTGTGCTATGTGTGTTCAAGATCCTGCAACTCTGAGACATCTAAAACAAGCAGAACTAAGTATTTGATTAATATTTAAACATAGCAAAACTGCCAAATATTGCAGCAGACAAGTTTCTTGGGCAAGATTTCCCTGACAGGATACCAGTAACTTCCACTGAAAGGAGCCACTGATAGTTACTTGTATCCTGAGGGGGAGAATCAGAGCCCTGGAGATCTACTTAGTTTTCTGCTTTCTGTGCACATGAAGGCAGAATACATAACAAGGTCACGACAGGCCAAAAATAGCAAATCTTCAAGCAGTTGCAATTCAAATAGATGCCAGATCTGCTGGAAAGCAAGCAACTTGACCAGCATGCAGAATTTCTGAAGATCACTACTTTTATAGCATTTTAAATTTTACGACCATTTTTCAAAAGTCAAGAAAAATATTAAGGTACATACTTTTCAGGGTTTTCCACTTCTTCAGTAACAAAATTGAGGTAAAACCTAGAAAAGAGTTATAAAATATATTGTAAGGGCTTGGTAGATTTTGATTCTGTATTTCTTTCCCAAAGAATCAAGAAGATGCTTTTACTTAAGCACTGCTGTTAATTATAGTAGACTTCGCAGACCCATGTTTGGATTAAGGAAACTGTGAGACTTAACCTTCCCTCATTGCCGCACTCAGGAAGGGAATTCTCAGAAAAGACAGCAAAGCAGAAAAAAGACAAAAGCCACGTAACATTGGTGTGGATTGAAATCAATTTTTTTCCTCAGCATACTAGGCAAATTGTGGTTTACCCTAATCCTGTACACAAACACACACGCAACCTCAAGCCTCGTATTTTATTTGCGGCTATAGCCTTGTACAATTTCAGGTTATATTGGCAAAAATTCTCATCAGGGTAATCAGCAAGGACTTCTTAACAATAAAAGTGAATGAAGCCTCAAGAAAACCCTCCTAAAACCAGGATTTTGACACTAGAGTGTCATATACGATCACAAACCCAGGCTGCTAATCCTGCATGCTCTTGCACAACCTCCAGTACAGGTTGCACTCTGGTTGTATTCCAGCAGCGTGCAAGGGACAACTATGTATGGGAATTCATAGGACCTACTCACTGGGAATTCATAGGACCTACTCACTGGGCACAGCCCTGCATACAAAGCAACCATAAGCCTCAAGGTCACTGAACCCTCTGTTCTGCATTTATTAGCACCAGGTCTGTGCATCGCTGGATCACACAGATGCGCCTGGCTCAGATACGGCACAAAGTCACATCCTGGCTAATTAAACAGAGCAGTCAATGCAGTGTTTATGCTGGCTTTCTACTTTTAGGACAGACGCAGGAAGACAAACGATATCTGACCTAACAGTCCTACAGTGAATAAACAAACGGTACCTGATCTGGCAGAAAGTCTGGGAACTTTTCTCCATCACAAGTCTTGGGCCAGATCTGGGTTAGCAGAACGAGTTAGCACTGGCTCACAGTTTTAAAAAATGTGATTTTGTGACTGAGCATGAAATTCTGTAAAACTAGATTTGCCACCTTATACAAAAACCCCAGTACTTGTTTCTAAACTTGCTAGTGCACAGAGCACAAGAGGTTGGGATAGTTCAAAGGAGAGATGGCTTCTGACAAGTAAGACGTTCAGCTGCTTCTTTCTGATCTTAGTCCTGCTTCTAGACAGAAGTAATTTGACAGCCTTGCATCAGCCCTTTTATTGATGCAAAGACATGCTTCCTTGCATTCTTTTCTCTACTTGCCCTTTTTCACCCAGCATTTTATATACCCAATAGTCTACAGTTGCTCTTTGCAGGATGAACCCACACATATAAGAGATACTACCTTTGTTTTGTTCTTTAAAGCTGTATCATTAGAAGTTAATAGTGCCATAGGCTATACATAAAATTCTGCCTGCGTCCTGGGACACAACACCAACACTTGCAACACTCCTTCACATTCAGCTTATTGGATTGATTTAGCCCCATGAAACTGATAGTGCAAGGGTATTGACACTCCACTTAATGGTCTGCTCTGCTGTGCTCTGAGGCAATCAATTTGAGCTGGTGACAAAGACAAATAGGCAGCTGGGAAGAACCACTAGCCAAATTAGGTCTTTTCCTGCTAATTTCTTTTATAAGTGCCAAATAAGGACCTTGAAATAAAAGTCAGAAGGTGTAAAGGAAAACCAGATGATTTTTATTGTAGGGGTTTGGAATGTTAGGTGGAAAATGGAAAGAAATGGGAAAGAAGAAACAGAATAACAGTATTTTTGATGTAGCATTTTACAGTAAACTAACTGTGCCTTGATGGTGAATAATATTAAAGAGCTTTTAAAATTGCCTTCATACAAAAATGTACAGTTAGGTTAATATTTTAAAAGTGAGAAACCATCACATGTATGGATATGAGAGACAGAGGCGGTTATATGACAGAGTGGGAAGAAGGTAGAGATTGTCCACATAATGAGTTCAATTTCTTTGAGGGTTCAAAATATCAGGCTCTTTTCTTATACATCTATCACAGATAAAGGCTTTGGACTCTCTTGGGTTCCCTCCCCCCTCCCCCCCCCCCTTTAATACAAAACATCTGGTAGGTAGTTCTCC